TCCTTTTTCACAGTGCACATTTTTTGTCAATTTTTTTTCTAATGTCTAATGTCTGTGTTTTTTTTTTTACTGCAAATGGAAAATTAACTGAATGCGAATTTTAAAAAACAAGGTCTTAATTGAACATATTTTCTGTTGCCCTCTAGTGGAACATCTCAACGTTTAAAACTGTCTTTTTACGTTGAGAAATTATTCAATAATAAAAACATCTGTGTAAAAGTCAATCCGTTTCCAGCCCAATAATAGAAAGGCTATGATTGGGCAGCATGTGGTTACCGCTTATGCCTCGGTTTCCTCCAGGTGCTCCGGTTTACCCTACCACTAAAAACATGCACAATAGGTCTGACATGTAGGTTCTATACGTCACCTGCTCCATCTCTGTGTGGAGTAAGAGACTAACGTAACAACCGTTATAGATCTCTTTGTGACGCTGGTTTGTGAAAGGAGCTATATACATAAATTTGAAACGAAATCTATCTAAAGTACGTATTATTCCGTAACGACAGCCAAACGCCTCGTCCTGGTTCCTTCCGTCGTTGTGACATATGGTGTTTTTTCCGTGACTCTGGCCCCGTGGCCCCATGCGGCCGCTGCTGTGTTTGTGTTTTTGTGTTGCCTTGTGTTGTAAATACCATCGTCACCGGGGACCGCGTCTTTAAGGTCCGCGTATATCCGGCTTCGAGCGCTCTCAATTCAACACTTCTTGATGTATGTGAAGTCATAGCGAACTATAAACGAAGGATGTTAAAGGTAAAGTCAGCGAGTTTTTCCGATGTTTGCTTCTGTCTCTGTGGAGCTGCTGTTCCCTCTGTCCCCGCTCAAACCCCTGCAGTCATCGTTGGCACAGGGAGAGAGTGATTGGTAATTGTTTTGTGGTTGTGCACGGGGCCCTGAATCAATTATGAAACCTCGCCTGCTGCAATAATAATTTCCTTTGTTGGTCTTTATGTAGCGCTCCCATAAGGAAAGTCATCAGAGCTAATTGTGACCTGGGGAACGGCAATGAGAGCGTGTTGTTTGACAAGGCTCAGTGCCACGCTGTCACTCAGGCGCCGTCACACACAGGACACGGTGGCACTGCTGCTGCTGCTGCTGCTGCTACTGCTGCTACTGCTGCTGCTGCTGCTGGTGCTGCTGCTGCTGCTGCTGCTACTGCTGCTGCTGCTGCTGCTGCTACTGCTGCTGCTGCTGCTACTGCTGCTGCTGCTACTACTACTGCTGCTGCTACTGCTGCTACTGCTGCTGCTGCTGCTACTACTGCTGCTGCTGCTGCTACTACTGCTGCTGCTGCTGCTACTACTGCTGCTGCTACTGCTGCTACTGCTGCTTCTGCTGCTGCTGCTGCTGCTACTGCTGCTACTGCTGCTACTGCTGCTGCTGCTACTGCTGCTGCGGCTACTGCTGCTACTGCTGCTACTGCTGCTGCTGCTGCTGTTACTTCTACTTAGATTCAGATTCAGATTCATTTATTTGCCATTTGCAGTAAAACCACATTGGAAAAACTGTGCAAGACTACCCCAGTGTGCACCAGACGACACACACCAGAGCTCTTGCCACTTAACACACATATATATTATAACTAAAACACTTGGCAATAAGGTACAGAAGTAGCCGTGTGCATGTACAGTATATACAAACACACACAAACATTGCAATGTTCAATGTGATTGTTTTAATGAATTTCTTGTTTTATAGTTTTAAATATTTCAATAAGGGCCGGAAACATGTTCAGTAAAAAAATCTTCATAAAATGTCTTTAAATCACTTCTATAAACACGTGTGCTAAGTGTACACTGTAGACGATGTAGGACTCATTATACAGTCTGCTGAATCAAGTCTATTTTTGTATAATGTTGACAATTGTCTCACGGTAAAAACCCCAAATAAGACATTTCTAAAAAATGATATTTGGAAAATGCGCTTAGCCACAATTATCAACATTAACACTCATTCACTGAATTCACATTTTTAGTTGAATTAAAGCTGCAGATGTTTTACTCACCTTGAGCAGAACCCTCCAGCCCAAAGTAAGTAGTAAGTCATTCTTATTTATATAAAGATGTATGTATTTTTCCAGATCAAGGTCAACCCAAAGTGCTACAATGTTCAGAGTTCAGATATTGTTCCATTCTCTCCACACGGTGATGACGGGAGCGAGACCCCAAACACACTGGCATCAAAGCCCCAATCAGCACCATCCATTCACTCATTACATTGAAACCTATTGTGCATGTTTTTAGAGGTAGGGGAAACCGGAGCACCCAGAGGAAACCTACACAGACACAAGGAAAACATGCAAACTCCACTCAGAAAGGCCCTGTTCCGACCGGGATTCGAACCCAGTGCCGCCCTAAACGTAACAAACATTGACCTTCAGTATTCAAACAAAAAGTCTCTCAGTCGTTGACATTCTGAGCGATCACTGTGGACCGTAGTGAAAGCAGAGAGTTCAGGAGGAGCTATCGTTCCATCGTTACAACATGATTAGACGCACAGATGCAGTTCAAGCCCATTTCCACACAGGACCGTATGTGGCGGACGTGACCGTTATCCGCGGCCTTGCACTTCCTGTGGGCGTGTCTCTCCGTCTCGGCTTCAGATTCGGACGATAACAGTTGAACGGTCGCAGCGACGCAGACTCATTAGTCCCAATCTGCTCCCTGGGGTTTGTGAGAACTCCGCCCCGTAACGAGCCAAACTGTGGCTGACCCAGAGACCAAAGAAGAAACTCAAATGTTATCAGATGCATGGAGCCGTGGCAGTCCTCCTGGTCGATGGAGCGGGAAGGAGAAGTCTGATAAGTCTAAGAAAAAGCAGCTAAAAGGGCAGATGTCGGCGAGATCTCGGTGCGGTGTGGCGCTCCTGGCCGCTTCTTGTGAGCTCGCCTAATTCCTGACCACCGCGCCGCTGCTAGCATATTTATGTGTAGCCGCAACGCGCTAGGAGGATTTCAGAGGAGGCCGGAGAGAGGCTGAGGGATAAGCAAACACCAGAGCATAGCAATCATGGTCGCAGGAATTTGGCAAGAGATTTAGCAAAGGGACAACTCTGCAGTGAATGACGCAGGTACAGGAAGTCATGTTGAAATCTATCTATTACAATGATTTTCAATTTGCTTTTTACACAGTGAGAAAGAACATTTCACAGCTTTCAATGACCACAGTAGAATTATGATAATGCTGAGGACAAATACTAGCATTGCTTCTATTCTGCGATGAATCAAGACTCAAATTGCAGAGTTTCACCAAGAAAAATGGCAACCCAAACAAGAGACTCACGTGATGCAAATTCTGCTTTCTGATTAGATGGAAAAGTGAATGAATCTAATGTGGCCCATTTTTCAATTATTGGTAAAATGAAGAATTATCTGCGTTATTTTCATTTCTGTAAAAACCTGATCTGTAAACGTTTATCTTGTGTCCGGTTCACAGATTCAAGATGGACGTCATTCCAAATGTTTCTTACTGTTCCTTTAAATCTCTGTGGGAGAATTGTAATAACTGTGTGGCGCCACCTACAGGTGAAAGTCAGATCCTGTCAGACTTCTGAAGCTAAGCATGGCAGGGCCTGGTTAGTACTGTGATGGGAGACATCTGGGAACACCAGGCTGTGAAGTGCCAAATTGTGGTTGAATAAGTCTGGTGTGTGTGTGAATGGATGGTGGCGGTTGGAGGAAACGATGGCATAGACTGGTTGTCTCACTTCTGTCAGTGTGCCCCAGGGCAGCTAACCGGCACCCTGGACCCAGCTGGGACAGAACCTAGAGGTGAGTTGATAGTAGTAGTAGTAGTAGTAGTAGTAGTGGTAGTAGCAATAGTAGAGGTAGTAGTAGTATCAAAGTAGCAGTGTAGTAGCAGTAAAGTGCTGAAGAACGAGTTTCAAAGACTGTCATGTTCAGGGCAGAGGCTGCAGGCCAGAACAAGTCTTTTACCTGTAATCTGTTTCAAAAGTATCTTTCAGGAGCACAGGTACTGTACACGACTGATGAAGGAGCACAGGTACTGTACTCGACTGACCATCACTTGACCCTGTGTCCACTGACTCCAGGGCTCAGAGCTGAGGCTGAGGTCAGCGGCCGTTTACGGTCTTTGATGGCCACAATCAAAGCTTTAAAGACGGGCAGATAAAGTCAGAGGGTGAGGCTTGTTGTTGTTGTTGTGCATCTTTGTCTTACAAATGAAAGATAAGAAATGAAAAAGGAAATGTGAGAACAGATCCATCATCGTGTTGAGATTAAATCATGTTTCTGAATTATACATTTCCTTTTCTGAGGACAATTGTCTCTCAGCTAAGATTAGACAAGGAGAAATTTTGCTTTGACGCTTACTGCGTTTTAGTCTTTTAATGAGAGATCACTTATTTTAACCTATTGTCAACTATTTTAGGGGGAAAAAAACATAATTTCAGACAATCATAGAAACACAGACAATAAAATTAGCTTTCTTTGTTCTTATGAGCGATAGATCAGCAGTTCATATGTATTGTTTAGACTTTTTATAGTAATTCCAAAATAGCTGCAAAACACTCATTGTTTAAAAATGACTCAAAGACAATTATTTATTGAAAACAGCAAAACAAGACAAAAGTAGAACAAGTGGCTGTTATTGCTTAAAAACATTTCTTTATTAGAATTTCCCAGTAGGATTATTGTCAAAAGCATTTCTCTCAGACCCAAGTTTACATCTCTGCTTTGTGTTGATCAAAGAGATGACCACTGTATCTGGATGACTACCCAAACTTACTCGTGTAAAACTTGACTTAAAAGACCTTCTTTTTCCTATGGACCCTGAAGGCCTCAAAACACTAAACAAAAAGCTCGAGGGTCTCCAGCTTCCATTGTTTCCTTCCAGATTCACCCCATCTGTTTTGGTCTCTCCCCTTTACCCACTACACCTCAGCCACCAGGAATGCCGCATTAGCACTGGCTCAACAATGCTAACAAAACAACAACAAAAGCCCAGGGACCCAGCCCGTACACCGTCACCTCCCCTCCGCAGACAATGCCCCGTGTCACCTACCTCAGCCCCACTGCCTCCACAGCTGACCCAGCCCAGCGCGAGCCCCCTACCAGCTCTGGAATCCTACCATGGGGCTACACCGACCTTTTCACCTTCTGCTCCTACCTCGGTTTCTCAGGAAGATTAGAATGTGGTAAAAGGACGGGGAGTGTCTGCGGGTCTCGGGCGCTGGACAGGATTCAGCAGAGCAGCCGGTTGGAGGACGACCAGATAGCAGGATTTGGAACACCCAAGTCTTGAATTTCATGGTGTATTGCAACAACCTTATAGACTTTCTGCTCTACTGGTTTTGGCACAGGCTCAAAAATGCAAACCCAACCAACGCAACAGCAGCAGCACAGCAGTTTTCTATTACCGAGCCTCCGTTATGAATAAGTAAAGCCGGCCTCATTACAGGGGCTTCTCGTCAGCAGCAACAACAGAAAAAAGAAAAAGTATATATTTTACAAGATTTGTTTTTCAAACTTTGGTCACTGTTGAGTTCCGTGTTGGTCTTGGGAATGGGCCAAACCTGTGTCCCAGCTCCCCATGTGGCCGATGGGGCCGTGGGAAGGGGCTCAGGTGTGGTCAGCAGCACCCAGAGGAGCTCAGCCGTGGGTGGCAACAGGGTCCACAGACTTATTAAAGTGACTGTGACGGATTACTTTGCCCTCACGTTATTAGAGCTCTTTGATTGGAGGGATAGAACGCACGCTCAATAACTCTAAAGTCAAGCCTTACGTCAGTCCAGTTTGTGAAAAAGAAGATCCAGGTAACGTAGAGTTCTTACAGGATCCAAGATTATTGCAGGCAACATTCATACAAACATCTAGAATATTCTTAGTCAAAATATTATTGAACCTTTGACTTTTAATAACTTGATGTTCATTGCAAACGCTCCTGCCTAAAAACAGCATATCTCTAGCTGACAATTCACCAACAAATGTGTAAAACCACGATCCAGACGTTTTTGGCCAAGTGGACTCACCTCATAAGTCCTCATACCCTGTTCACTGAGGAGACCAGCCTCCGGAGCAGCGTCTCTAACCTGGGCTCGTCTCTTTCCAAGTTGCTCCACAAAGGATTTAAAAATGATGTTAATTTGATTTTAATTCCATCATCTATGATTCTAATGATTCTAACTATTGCATACTAACTTAAGTTATAAATACGGACATCTAAGGCTCTCACCAAAGACTATTTACTAAATTAACTATTTTCCCTCTGGACACTTAAAGGAGTCGCTCTCTGAGGAATGTCAAGAATCTCTGGATGAAAAAGTTTGGAGACCCCATGCTCTCGTGCCTTCATGGGGTATTATTCTATTTCAGTGGAAGGACCATTGAAAATACAAGTATGTGGGCCATTTTTGAAAGAAATGTTGAAAAATTGATTAGATTGCCAAAGTCCCTGTTATTCTCATGTCTCAAAGTCCTTTCTACAGACCAACATCAACATGATAAAATAGTTAGACCGGAGTTGATACAAACTGAGGAAAAAGATGTCGATCTTTGTGTGTTTCATGTTTTTTAAATTAGCTCAAAAACTAGAATTCTAGTATCTCTTAACTCATAAAACATAAATTCAAATCGTATTAAATAATGTTGGTGTTGATGATCTTCTTAATTGACTTGTTGTTTATTATTTTTATGTATTTTTTCTTTTTTTTTTTCTCTTTCTAGCACGCACGCTTGCACGCACACATACACAGACACCGCCCATTGTGTAATGTTTCATGTTCTCTCAATATTTGTATCTCTTTGTTTGTCCCCATGTTCTGTCACTGCTTCAATGTTTTTACACACACCACACAGACACACACACACACCGCACATGTGTAATGTTTCATGTTGTCTCAATATGTGTATCTCTTTGTATGTCCCCATGTTTTATGTCCCCCATGTTTTGTTCTTTTTGCTGTTGTACCAACCATTTTCACTTTGGTATGTCTATGTATCACTTTTGTATGTCTATGTATCACTTTTGTATGTCTATGTATCACTTTTGTATGTCTATGTATCACTTTTGTATGTCTATGTATCACTTAATAAAAAAAAATAAAAAAAAAACTAGAATTCTTCGTTATAGTCACCAGGAAGCATCCTTCAACCGTCATCGACCACAAAGTTAAAATATAGACTCTTTGGAATGTTATGCTGTCACGTGAACGCAACCTCTGGGATCAAAAGTGAAGGCGTCCTGAATCAAACCATAAATGTCTCAGTGAAAGTTCAGACCTCTCACGTGAAAATGTGTGTTCACGGGAAACAATAGACAGATCCAACAAAAAAAAAAGTCTTAAAGCAACAAAAGTGAGCGACACATCTGCATCACACATGAACCATTACGTATCCCACATAAAATCTATTCATGTTCTCACAAACAAACATACAGTACGAGCACGGGGGAGAGGAGGGAACACTGAAACCGTTTGGGTGTTGCCGAAATAAGACAGAGCACTGGAAAGTTTCACCATCTACTTTTGGCAAATCCTGAGCCCAGAGTGATCCAGGTTGATAACCAAAGTAGGCGCCAACGTCACTAATAGTTTCCAGACGGAGCAGGTCGCTTGGCTCTGCATTGTTGTTAGAAAGTCACGTTTTTATTTGTCTGCCACACAGAGACATCGACCAATGCATTCTCCAGTTGTTGGCGTCCTTTTTGGCATTTTCTCGAAGTCGCAAAACCTTCCAATGATTCGCTTATAACACAAGTTGACAGCCAAAAAATGGTCAGGGGTTTCTCAACTGATTTAGACTAATGTTGGTGTTCTGAGTCCGAATATCACATGCATTTTGCTCTATCAGGTCAACCTTTTGAAATACAGCCATAGTGTTACGGATTACGTACGTCTACGTTTTACGTGTGCGGGAGTTTCAATAACAAATCCGTAGCGACGAGGAGATATAAACGCCGATTTATGCCGTGAACTCTGAAATGTTGTGTCACGTAACGCTCATTGTTTTACTAATATTATGAATTCTGCTTATCAAATTTGATGGAGTAAATAAAAACTGAATGACTTTGGATACGTTGACTTTTATTTCTTGAGGAAAACGGAAAAAACGTCAAGGGTTTCTCAGCTGATGATCCGCAGAATTTAGTTTTTTACGCAAAATCGATTAAAAAAAAAATGTCTGTAGCAAAAAATCCTGACCTGATTGAGCAAAAACAAGGTCATTTTCGGACTCAGTGTCACAGGGTGGGATGATGGAGGACTCAAATGCAGGAATGCAAAAAATAATGATTTAATAAAATAAAGTCCAGGTGAAAAATAAACTCAAAATCCAAGAATTACAGAACCAGGAACAAAGACAGAACTTGACATAACAATGGACCAGCGACATGTGGAGAGGGGCACAGGGTAATTATAGACAGGGACACAGGTGAAACACATCAGGGCGGGGCAGACAATCAAGACAGGGGGAAACAGCACAGAAGTCAAACTCAAAACCAAACCACAGAGAAACAATGTCAAAATAAAACCAAAGTACAAAAATAAAATCCATACCATGACACTCAGAGCATCAAAATTAGTCTAATTCAGCTGGAAAACCCTGGACTATTTTCAAAAAATATTTTTTTGCTACCCAGTGTAATCAATCAGCCTTTCAGACATGATACACTGTTGAAAAATATATCACTTTTTAATAGTAAATGTACAGTTTATGCTGATTTCGGCTCTAAATTATGGACCACAAATATCAACAATGACTGTGTGAGCTTGACTGAGAATTGTTAAGTTAGGGGCCTAGAAACAATGGATAAAAACAACTTAACAACAAAGTAACTGAAGTAAAAGCTAAACGATACACTTTTTTTATATAAAAGCCTGAACACTGGGGCTTTCACATGTTCCCAAAGATACTGAATGTTCACCGCTTGCTCTGACGAGTGTGGAATCTGACCTGAGTGTCTGCTCTCGGTATAATAGTCTATAGACCAGTGGCAGATGTTGTTTATGGACAAGAAGAAAGTTATTGTTCAAAAAAAGCAACAAGAAATCAGCGTGTGTTGGAATGGCCCCGGCACAGTCAGGAAAACTACTGCGCTCTGTGTTCTCTCTGAGCACATCTGAACAGGCAAAACTTTCAGTCTCTAGATCTAAAAAGAGGTTCCACAGGTTTTTCGACAGGGAGCTCTTATTTAAAAACTGCCTCAACCTTCGCCAGGTTCCGAGGTTCTTAAGAAATGTGAAACCCAGAAACTAAATACCAAACATGCAAGAAAGGTGCTGTTTGTGGGAAGCCAGGTCGCTGTATAGAAAGTGTGTTGTATTGAAGCTTTTTGTTCAGTGTTTAGTAAGAAAAAAATATAGACAAATTGTATGCATCATTCTCTTTCACTTCACAGTTGCTTGTTACATTGATGCAGTCTTGAAAAAAAAAAAAAACATTCTTAATGTTTCTGCTGGAGACAAATGTACTATTCCGGTCCGTGTTGTGTTTGCATCTGGAGACTAACAGTGTGACGTTTGGGAGGTTGACGACCGTGAGAAGTTGACGTCAGTAGAGTTTAACGTCCAGAGGAATGTGGCTTTGGGGTAATTCTGTACAGAGCTGCTTCTTTCTTTCTATTCAAAGAAAGCAGGACATTTTTTAAGTCACGAGAGAGAGAGATATTTAGGATATTTCTGTTTCGCTAAGTCTCACTACAAAGCAGAAATGTCGGCTTTCCAAAAATACTTTCAGAGTTTGTGGAGATGTGATTGCGGCGATAAACATACACTTCCAATCTTTGTTTTCACAGGAAACACAGCTTTACTAAGTAGCATAATACATTGCTCTCTGGTGAATATGTCTTTTCTGCCGGTGGGTGAAGCATCTGTGCAGGAAGCTACAGGTTAGTGGCATCTACAGACTGAGGAAACCCAATCCATCAGAGCGCAGCAAAGCGGGTGGGCCTGGTCCTGGTGACACTGTCCAGACCTGGTCCAGACTCGGCCCTGACAGAACGGACACATGCTTTTCCTGCTGCCCCTTGATTGAACAAGGAGCCGTGTGTCACTGGACGATACTTTTCTGGAGGTTTGGTTTCGCACAAACATAACTGGGCAAAGATACATCTCTGGGATGAAGAGTGGAGGTGGGAGTCTGGGGTATTTTCTAAGAAACACCAACATTTGCACCACTTGGATAAGATAACACAGTCGTATGTGAGCCTATACATTAAGATCAAGGGAAACAGTTGACTCCATGTGGGAAGTGGTGCTCTGCATTTGACCCAATGAGAGATGATCTTCAGATGAAAAGCGTTGGTATGTCCCGTCCTTTGACACGTCATACTGCCCTGGCGTCTGCTTCTGACTTTCTCATCATGATCAAGACCATCTTTGTTGGGAGATTTAAGCTTTTGGGGGTTATTGAGGGAAACCAGAAGAAACTTTGGTTCCATAAGAAACGTGCAAACTTAGAAAAGCAAAGACAACCTGAGAATAGAACACAGAGACACTCAGGTCTTGGCCCATTTCACAAAAACAAGACTGATGGAGGCATGGACTGTCACTTTGAAATGCTCACATGGATTTGGCAGAAGTCAGCTGTCATACTGTTCAGTTTTATTGAACTACTGCAAACTTTATGTAAGAATGTTGTCCGACATCATTTATGGATTCTGCTTTTCTGTAGTGAAACCAGCCCAATTCATCTCAGAGAATCACCTGATAGAATGTTTTGATTCTCTAATCTGTTTCCAGGCCGTCCACCGACTACAACTTTGGTTGTGATGGTGAGCGTTACAAAAATAAATTGATTGGATTGAATGAGAAATAATATCTTGATCGATATCTTGTCTCCAGACCATTAGTTTTATCCAAGAAGCTTCAACGAGTGCCGCCATAAAGATGTCTGTATGACTTTCACAATTCAAATAATACAAATAAAGAAATCTTGTGGGTGGAGAGTAATAAGCAGTTGGATTCTAATAACTATTGTTTCTGTTTGTAGAAGAAATATGTTGTATATCCTCTGTGCTGTAGCTCTATCATATAATAGTATAATCTTCCCGATTACAGTGTTTGACATCTGTCTGAAGTTCTTTGTAAAACATGTTGCTGACAGATTTGTAATTGTCATATCAGATGTCTGTGAAGTGAACTGAGGCGCTCTCTCTCTTTGTCCAGAACCATCTGCTAATCCACACCAGCAGCTTCCTCCTACAATCAAACCTTTGGAAATCTCACAAATTCGACAAGATGGTTTGCGCTGCTGCTTCATTTCAACCTGACCACAAATAGGCCTAAACCGAGCCAATTACTTAGTGCTTCCTTAAATGCGCCGACTGAATTTATTGACATTTGCCAGCACCAGTGCGATGTTATCGAGAGCTGTGTTATAAATGAGATGAATGTATTGTATATTGTACGATGAATGTATTTTACACATATCTGCACTAAAGGTTTGTCAGAGAAAACCTCAGAGTAGAATGTGTTGTTCGTTCTTATAAATACATGTCATAAACAAACCGTGATATTTGCATGTTACGTTCATTGTGTCAAACTGCATTCCCTCATGAGTCATGACATTAGTTACAGAGTGAGTTCTCGGTGCACACTTTCTTCTGGTGGCATCTTAACGCCACACTGAGACAGTGAAGGTGACAGATGAGTCTGTGTGAGTGAGCCCACTACATCTGGCAACGATCGCAGAAAGTGAGGGACTGCCGGCCCAACAGTAATTAGCACACAGCCTCATGTTCATGTTTCTTTTAATAGCTGCACTGGACCAGAGTGGACTAAAAATAAACAGGCCAATTAGGGGCGGCGAGGAAGGTCGCCATTTGAAGGTGATGACCTTTGAACTTGGGTCAGAGCCCATACAGAGGTGTTCATGTGGACCACCTGCCCCCCTCTGGGACTGGGACAGTCGCCATGTTGTGTTTATGTTAAGGGTCAGAGCGCTGTGGGCTCTTGTCGAGTAAACTACACGTGTGGGTAAACTAAGACTATTTATATCAGTCAGCGCCTGCTGCGTAGGACACGCAGGTGAGCGATACAGGCCTGACTTTAGCAGAGGCTCTGAGGCCTGCTGCATGTATGCTCCCTCTGTGAATGAGCTTGTGATTGGGGGAATTGAAGCTCTTCAGATCTAGCCGATTGTCTGGCACAGATGTTCACATCAGCCAAAGAACAACAAGAACCTCTTTTCACACCTGGCAACTCTCAAACCCAGACCATGCTCTGAAGAACCTCCAAGGCTGTCCCGCTCAACCTCTCACCTCTCGTGAAGTCACGAGCCCTCTCCACCAATCAGAATAATCCGCCCTTGGACTTGTCTGGCCCCAGACATAAGACAAATGATTCAGATCAGATTAAATGTTTTTTAATGGCAAACAGAAGGCCAGACTTTTGCAGTTTGTGCGTATGTGCGTGTCTCTGGTTATCTTTCCAAATGAGACTCATTTATAATCAGTGGACAAGGAGGGAATGCACTTGTTACTTTACTAAAACTCCCTTTTTTTTTTCACAATTGGTGTAGAAACATCCAGCCGTTTTTACCATTGCAATCTTTATCTTCAAAGTCAATTAATGGCTCTCTGTAGCAACAAGGAATCCTATTTTTGCATTGCATATGAAGCGCATTATGAGCAATATGTTCGGAGCTCCCTCTGCCAAGAGAAACAGTGCGAGCAGACCACAGCTCCAGAGGCCCCGCTATATTTAAACCCTCTCTTGGACAGAGCTCTCGGTCTCAGGGTTACCACAGTAAAGGCTGCTGGAACCTCGCTGTAGACCAACACAAAGTCATTGTCCATGAGACTGCAGCTTCAAAAAAGGAAGGTCAAGAACTGTATTTTTAGTTCTTTTGTGTGGACCACAACATGGACCAAGAAGAACTTCACACAGAACACGCCCTCCGCACAGCTGGGGTCAAACAGAGACGCCCTCACCTGGCTCAGTCTGACCTGGCTCAGTCTGACCTGGCCAAGACGGAGGACCCCAGCTCGACTTATTTAAGCGTTTGTTCCTCCTGTCTGCCCTCAATTGGGATAATTGTGTCTATCAGTTGTGGGGGCTCTGTGATCTGCCATCCAGAGAGCCCACAGGAGCTTATGTTTCACCTCAGGTCTAAGGGAGACGGCTAAAACCTGCTCCAGGAATGTCTTCATCCTGATGTACAGGCCCACGGAACTTCAAAGGGGTTAAATGCACCTTTGTTCGTTATGTTGTCTTTAATCAGTAGTTTGGGCTCCATGTCAGTTATCAGTCACAACTCAACTTCAAAACAACATTTCTCATACGCCGTTGTATTGTATTGACATGACATGTATCGATATTGAGACACTTTTAATAGAGAAAAAGCAACAATAAAAAGTGGTTGTTTACCCTCGTCTTTCTCTGAATGCACCACAGCAGCCTCCAAACACCAACCTCAGATTTGTATTTATTTATTGATTCATTTGTTAGGGACAAGAATACACAATCAACATGTGAAACACTATAACATTTATGGCCAAGGCTAAGTTGCATTGTCCGTCCCTAGCAGGGCTTTTAACACAATTAAAAACACTTATGACATTATGATCTTCACATTCTACAAAAGCAGTTGTTCTCTAACTCATTAATGATCACAGAACTGGTTTGTTTTTAAAAATCGCTTCAGTTCGTGTTTAAAACCAGCCCAGTCAGAGTTTATTTTTGAGTTCCTGGGCCGAGAAATCCGACTGTCCAAATGTGCATCTCCTGAGGGGCACGTTTACAGTACCGTTCAAAAATAAAATAAGTATAAAAAGTAGTACATGGAATAAAAAACATGAGTTCCGAGCATGTGAAGGGAGAGAGGTGTAGGGTCAGGGAGGGTTTGGTCTGTGTCTGAGTGTTGTAGGAGACAGAGCGGTTGGAGCTAAATAAGCATCGGCTTCGTCCAACGTCTTTTCAAACTGTTTGTTTTATTGTGTGTACTTAAAGGCACAGCGTGTAATGTAATGTCAGTGTCTCATTTTGAATAACTTTACAAAGGTCCCCAGAGAGCAGGCCACATGTGCAAATCATATCAGACCTTTTATGAACAGTCTGGTGCGGAGTTATTCTTGATAAAAAATACTCTGGATGTCTATATTTACAGTTTTCAAGCCGATGAGCCAATCAGAGAGCGGAATGAGTCTCACGCATTTAGGACCACACGTATTTAAATGAAACCAGGTATGGAAAGTACTCATACACAGGACACAGAGTTTGTAAATGCTTCTAGACCAAATCCAGCAGGTGGTTTGCATCAGTAATCACAGTTTAGGATCTACGTGTGTCACAGATTCTGGAAATAAACCATGGATTGTAATGACTTTATGAGACCAAAGAGTGCATATTACATTAAAGGTATAGAGGACGATTTCCCCAATTATTATTTTTTCGGAAAGAACCGCCCTCTCCCATTTTTTGAACAAAACTCTTCTGTCTTATTGGACGAGCACGTACTTCATCACCAGAATGATTGACAATTAGGAGGACCAACAGTCTTGATGATCCACCCGGAAGTAGAAAATCCTCAAAATCTGAATGAGGAGATCTGACATTTATCCCATATCGTTCAGTCCGACTCACGACTTCAAACTCAATTACGGTTACGTCCCAGGTTACGTCTGTTTAGTGTTCATGTGCAAAGCCTAAAGAAAACATTTTCCCCAACACTGATGACAAACTACTCCAAACATTTACCTGTCTACACAGCTGACCCACTTTCGGCCTGCACTTTCTTCCCCCCTCACTTAAGTTTGTCCTGTTTCCGGATCCACCTGCAGCTGCTCTGGTCTCGCCGCGGTCCCTCGGTGGCTCTGGTGCAACAGCTGCGCTCCAGTGAGTGTCACGAGGAGCATTAGCACAAACGCACTGCACTGATTGGCGTCTGCTCGACATAACAACATAATCATTTTCCCCAACGCAGACTTCGCCAGAGAGTTTAAACACACACAGCCCCATGCCGCAAAAACAGTCCAGGCTCTTTCTCTGGCTCTCTCGCAGTTGCTCTCCGGCTCTCTTTCTGTCTTTCTCTCCGTCTCTCTCTCGCTCTTTCTCTCTCTGGCTCTCTCATGTCTCTCTCTCCATGTCTCTGTCAGTCTCGCTCTCTGTCTCCTCTCCGACTCTCTCTGGGATTCTCTCTCCGGCTCTCTCTCAGTCTCCTCTCCGTCTCTCTCTCTGGGGCTCTCTTTCTGTCTCTCTTCCCGGCTCTATCTCCATCTTTCTCTCTCTCATCTCTCCCTCCGGCTCTCTCTGGCTTTCTCTCCTTTTCTCTCTCTGTGTCTTTCTCCATGGCTCTCTCTGTCTCTCTCTCCGTCTTTCTCTCCAACTCTGTCTTGGTCTCTCTCTCTCTGTCTTATTTCCCCGGTTCTCTCTTTCTTTCTCTATCTCTCTCTCTTTTTCTCTCTCTGTCTCTCCCTACCGCTCTCTCTTTCTGTCTCTCTCTCGCTGGCTCTCTCTTTCTCTCCCCAGCTCTGTAGGGCTCTGTATCTGCTCCATCGTCTGGGCCTCATGTGGCGACAATGTGTGCGTCCCTGGTTGTGGCGGCGGGGGCAGCGTTGAGGAAGTGGTGCCGAAGTGCCCCAGAGGAGAAGAGTGTTTATCCTGTCCACCGCCTTTCATCTTTTTACTGTTAATCACTTCCTGCGCTCTGTATGAACTCCAACTTTGAGAGACTGGTGACGGAGCACGGCCATTTTGGATCCATATATGGTTGTTGGCCTCTTACTGGAGTTCCCATCATGCAATGTTTTGAATAGTTACCGAGTGCATAGTTGTTTAATGGTGTTTTGTTTACTGATCGTCTCTGGATAAAACTGAATATTTAGCAGTGGATTTAACGCTAATTCAAGTTAGATATGATGAGGATTAATGATAATTATTAATTCTTTAAAACCTCTTTGCCAAAAACCTTTTTTATTTTATTTTCTGTTATTATATGAGAGAGAGATGGCTTGAAATTAGAAATGCAATGAGATCTCACTATTGCAATACTTGGTGTTTGTGTAAGTTGGCTCTCATAGTGCACTGTCTATCCCATAAGGTATTTTTTATATACATTAGACTGGACTTAAACTAAGAGGAAGCTAAAAATATGTGTGAATGACTTGTGTATCTCAGTGAGTGTGTTTCCAAGGTACTTACTTTGATTATAGTAATAATGCATAGCGCTTTTTTGGACTCTCAGAGACGCTTCACATGTCATTATTCTTTCACTCCATACACTGTGGTGATAAACTACTACTGAAGCCACAGCTGCCCTGGGGCACACTGACAGAAGCCAGGCAACCACCACCAACCATGCACACACACTAGACTCAATATGAACACTCTGCCTTCTGAACGCTCTACTGTACACTCTGCCCCTTTACCACAGTGGTCACGTCAAAGGCACTGCTTCAATGACAAGTCTGGGGAATCTTCTACAGTTTACAGATCCAGAAAAGCGAGGTGGCAAACTGTGAGTAAAAGCTGTGGGAGAGGCGAGGTGGGCGTGGTCAGAGCCTGAGGATCTCGTTGGTTTCTCTCACGAAGAAGAGAAGTTACTCAAACATGCTCTAACAGCTCTAAAACAGATCTGTGTGGAAGTAATTAAAAAGCAAAGGGGAAACAACAATAACATGATCAACAGCTGTGAAAAGTCTTACGTTATGGCCCTTAAAGTTGGGACATGCAAATATTAATGGACATAGTCACGCCTTTCTCCGCCGTTCAAACTAATGCGCCTCCACTTTTGACTTCTGTGGGCTTTTTCAAGGCTGGAAAGTGTGGAGAAAAAAAGCATTTGCACATGTGTTCGCCGGCATGAGCCACATTCATTGAGCAAGTGCATACTGAAGTCCACAGCAGCTAAACTAGACTGGTCCAAAAAAAAAAAAAAACTCCCCATAGCATTGACCCACATCTGGAACGCTGGACTTTTGGACCCAACTTTTGGACCTTCCTGCAAAGACGTTTTTGAGAGAAAAGAAGACACTATACAAAAGCCTTGGGTAATTCTCTTTCCAGGTCCACCCCCACAGGCCCGAGGTGATAATGCAAGCATGTCAGCTCATGTGCTCACGGACCTTTTGGAGCCGAGACATAAGGTCTATAGATCCACATGCTAAGAGCACTTTGAGTCACTGTGGGAGCTGATTGGTTGAGTGAGCGTGGTCCTCTCTTTTACCCTTTTATGTCTGAAAATGCTGATCTGAAGACGTGACAAAGACCAAAGATACTTGCATGTGACGTGATAGAAGTAACTTTTTTTTAGAGCGAGGAACTAGTTAAATGGACTTTTATTGGGAATAGTTAATGTTTGTGTTTTGAAAGTTAGGTATAAGGTTCAGTTGTTAAGTTAAAGGTATATAGGAGGATTTTCTACTTCCGGGTGGATCATCAAGATTATTGGTCCTCCTATTTGTCAATAATTCTGGTGATACGTGCTTGTCAAATAAGAGAGTTTTGTTCAAAAAGTGGGAAAAAAATTGGGAAAATCCTCCTATATACCTTCAAGTCTCTGATAACAACAACTTGGACTCTTTGGACACCAATATTCATGCTGTTATGTTACTAATTAAGATTAATACAGCATGAATATTAAAACCGTTTTAGTGCGTGGTTTAAGCTCCAACTCCTTGGTCCATGACATGTGAGAACAGCCTGTGTGGTGCTCCAGGCAAAGTTGGTAAGAACCCACTGCTTTATAAGGTTAAGTCTCTACATACCTTTTATTTAACAATGTGGCATTCTTTTAGAGCAGGCTTTGTTTATTCACATATTTGGTTGGGATCACATTCAGTCTGAGGCGAACCCTGAGCGTGCCAATAATCAATTCTCTTCCTCTACTGTGTAATCAATTAGGGGAAACCAAACGGAATAGATGTTTTTCAAAGACAGCTCTTGTCGTTTCATTTGGCCAGTGATGAATGCAGTGAGAACCAAGAATAATCAAACTCAGAAAGGCCTAATTGTGCATTGACAGGGAACACTATTAGGCTGGATGTGTGCGACTTCCAGGAAAAGCCAAAGCAGTAACAGTAAAAGTGTCATGGCAAAGACTTATGAGGCCGTAATGCGCATCCACCGCGCCGTGTGGTTTGAGCGGCGGTGACAGTTCGTGGCCATTTTAATCCCAAATCTTCCAGCCAGTGTGAACAGTCCCCAAAGTCTTGTTGGCTCTCATCACACAAGTCTTTGGTTTCCACTGCCTGGGACTGTCCATCAATCCTTCCTCTTCAAAACAAATGGAGTCACAAGAGCATTACAGACGTGAACCCAGTGACAGTGAGTTCTCTGGTCCTGTTCGGTCGGTTTGGACGTGACGAGACTCAAACATGTGGAGGAAAAATAGTTAAAGTTATGAATCAAATATTTGTCTTTGTGCAATGTTGGATTTCTTTTTGTGAGAACTGCATTCACTTCAATAAGATCCAAATCACAACAGCGGGCGCCGCATGGCTGAACATAGCTGTTGTTTCAGGAGCCATCAGTGCGGATCTTAGCGGTATATCCATGTCAGAGCTGTCTGCTGCTGTGATCCAAGTTTATTTGCATAACGCTCTACAAACATAATACCAGGGTTTTCACCAGGTGTGTTTCCCATGCAGGTGAATCACCGTCAGATGCACACCCCAGCAATAAACTCAGTCTGGATCCAGGCCCTTTTAATGATGACATTTGAGGATCATATGGTATAACATTATGTAAGGTGTGGTTCATACGAGAAAACAATTGTGTCTGCTTTGACTCAAAGATAAATATAGTCACTCTTTTCACTTTTTAAGGTTAGTAATAAGGTTAAAGGAACCTAACATGTTTCATAAATAATTCATTTGGTTAGAAACCTCTAACTTTTGCTTCTTAAAGGACACAGTAACTTGACCGTTGGCGTCTGGACGAGTTAGAAATAAATTACCTAAAAATTGTGCGTTCGACTCGTTGTCCGCGGTCAGGAAGGAAGGAAGTTTGTCAGTGTGCGCTGCGAGGAGCAGAGGGGCAGCTGCAGCATGTGCAGACTATGTTCTGGTCTTGAGACACCTGTTCTAGGTTCTGACTGAAGGCCAGGTCAAAGCGTTGGTCACTGCGCTGGTCTTGAGGGAAAAATGGCTTTTGGCCTCACCCAGGCCGGGCTAACCTGGGCCCACCAGGGTCGACCTGGGTGTCATTGAGTGTTGGTTCTGGTCTGGTTGATGGATCTGGGCCTGAATAAAGATCCCTGTGATTCACTATTTGACGTTTTGGCAATAAATGCCGCAATAAAACTACAGCAAGGAACTCGTTTTTGGGGTTTGAGAGCTAAGATGTGTGTGTGTGTGTGTGTGTGTGTGTGTGTGTGTGTGTGTGTGTGTGTGTGTGTGTGTGTGTGTGTGTGTGTGTGTGTGTGTGTGTGTGTGTGTGTGTGTGTGTGTGTGTGTGTGTGTGTGTGTGTGTGTGTGTGTGTGTTTAATGGCATACTATAGAGGAATAATATAGATGTTTTAAAACCTTAAACTTTAAGGCCACAAGCTCAAAACGAATAAACTCGCCGTTCTCTTCCTCCTTTAATGACTGTGGTCACCTCTGCACACAGGGTGGAGTGATGAATGAAACCATCAGAACTTTTGTCAATAAATGACTGTCACAACTGATGTGTCATGAACTCCTCCTGGGAAAACATGTCACACTGTATTTTGAGACCAATATGTCTATAGAGTGGGGCAAAACAGTTTTTAGTCAACAATTCTGTAAGTTACCCATTTAGCAAGAAGATTGAAGCATAGGTAAACCTCAACTATGAGAGACAGACTGAGGAAAAAAATAAAACCAGAAAATCACTTTGTCTTTTTTTTTTTAAACGTATTTGCAAATCATGGTGTAAAATAAGTATTTGGTCACCGACAAACAAGCCATATTTGTGACTCTCACAGACCTGTAACTCCCTCTTAATGGCACCGGTTTGAACTTGTCATCAGTATAAAAGACACCTGTCCAATACCTCAGTCAGTCACCCAACAAACTGCACCAGGCTGGGGAGACTGAATCTGCAACAGGTAAGCAGCTTGGTGTGAAGAAATAAACTGTGGGAGCAATTATCAGAAAATGTAAGACACACAAGGCCACTGATAATCTCCCTCAATCTGGGGCTAACCCTGTGGGTCAAGAACGGTGAGCAAAAATCCCAAAAAAAGCCACACGGGGGGACCTGGTGAATGACCTGCAGAGAGCTGGGACCAAAGTAAAAACGGTACTATCAGTAACACACTACACCGCCAAGGACTCCCTGCAGTGACAGACGTGTCCCTGCTTAAGCCAGTGCATGTCCAGGCCCGTCTCAAGTCTGCAGGAGAGAATTTAGATGATACAGCAGAGGATTGGGAGAATGTCATGTGGTCAAATGAAACCAAAGTAGAACTGTTTGGTATAAACTCAACTTGTCGTGTTTGGAGGAAGAAGAATACTGAGTTGCATCCCAAGAACACCATACCTACTGTGAAGCATGGGGGTGGAAACGTCATGCTTTGGGGTTGTTTTTCTGCAAAGGGACAACAACGACTGATCCGTGTTAAGGAAAGAATGAATGGGGCCATGTATCTTGAGATTTTGAATGAAAACCTCCTTCCATCAGCAAGGCCACCAAGTGGCTGCTCCACCTCCGCTGCTGAGACCTACAGTGCTGTTGCATTTTAATACTATTGTTAGCTATTTTTTGAATGATCTATTTATTTCTTTGTTTGGATGGATGTGTTTCTGCTGCCACTGGACACCTGCATTTCTCCTACGGGGACTAATAAAGTATCTAATGTATATCCATCTCTCTGTCTATGTAAAGCTCAGGAGCTCTGTAATCCAGTATTGACTTTGTTGGACTGTTTGGATTGTACAGCGCTAATGTATCTAGTGAGCAAACATGTGTCATTCAGCCAACTTCAGCTTCGAACAGATACAGACATGTCTCATTTTAAAGCTCAGAACCAGAAACCAATCCTTGTGGCCCTATTTTTAAAACTCTTTAGACATATATAATGCTACTGTGTCAGTGTACAGCATGAGTTTATGTGCTAGTTAAAACACATTAATCCGAGTTGATACAAATAATTCTTGAGTAATTTTGGCACACACACACACACACACACACACACACACAGTACGTACGTCAATGCACACGTGTGACTCACAAAACTCCAACCTGAAACTCCACTCACTGCACGCGAAGCACCTCGATGCTGAGTTCAGACTTTTTATGTGAAATGCAACACGTTGAACGCGTGTAAACATTGCGATGATGCCTGTGCTCCCTCCAGGCCTCCTCTGGATCAGCCGTGGCCTTTTAAAAAACGCTGCAGTGGGATTAAAAGAGGTTAGATGCACATTGCTATTTCCCTTCGGGCGCAAGAGGAACCTTTCCACTTTTGGCTGGCGCTCTGCACTAGTCACGCACACTCGCAGAGGTATGCGGCTCCAGCCTTTACAGCACTGAGTCACAGCTAACCACCACCGCCGCTCTCCAACGCCACCAACTGTCAATGTTTGGCTGTTTACTGTTTGGTTGATGAAGAACTTGGTATCTAAGTGGAAGTTGTAAATCCGTGATATCCACAACACAATGGCCGTACAGGAAACGCTCGGCCAAACACCGAACAATGACGATGCAGTGAGATTGTGTGGATGGCGTGTGAGTGTCACCGTGAGGGTAGAAGTCTAAAGGGGAAATGCAGTATTCAAATGGTCTCGTTATGAGCCCAGGGATCAGCAAGCGATGGAGGCCGATGAATGAAAAACAAACATAATGTAAGAAGATGAAAAGATGTGCACCGTGAGGCCAATAAAGGTTCTTTTATCTTAAACATCGATCTCTGCAGAGTTCGACAAACACTATTCTCCACTACTAAAGTCAACGTTTACATTCTCATGATGTTTTCAGTAACACTTCAGTAAGACACCTCACATAGTGTCGTGGGAGTGATTGGTCGCGGTAGAGGCCAATGGCACATACCTGCATTGGTACTCGCTTCTGCCAATCTGCCCAAAGGCAGCTGTGGCTGCAGTGGAACTGTGTTCCAAGTACAACCAGTGTCTAGAACCATCTGTAATCTTACTTCAGTACGAGGTTAAGGCATCAACGCCACATGGAAACATGTAACTGTGGCTCTTGGACAGTGCTCTAGTTTTTTCACTTGTTATAATTTAAGTCTGGTCAGCAGAAAGACTGTGCTGAGTACAGTCAAAGTGACTGCTCCTTTTGTTTCACAGCTGTAAAGTTACACTAAAAATGATCAAGCAAATTTTAAATTCAATACAACTAATAAACAGAGAACTCACAGGGGTCGTGTCATCACCAGATTTTGTCTGTTATTTTGCAAAATAACTGAAAAATAAATGTAAATTTATAAATGTAAAACATTCTGGATCCAGGACGTCGTTTAACAGTGAGAGTCCCACAGCTGTCATTTTGACTGTTCCCATTCAAACCAATGGAATTCTGGGATAAGAAAGTAAGTAAGTGAGTAATGTTTATTTATATAGCGCCTTTCACAGACCAGAGTCACAAAGATTTACAGTTGTGGGTATTTGTCTCTCGCTCTACTCAGATGTTTTTTTAAAAGTCATTTACAAGATATTTCCCTTTACCCACTTTTAAAAACCACTTCTGAACTTAACTTGAAATAATGGTGTTAACGGTAGAATTCCTCACGTTTCAAAATAAAAGATCATTTAGTCAAAACAATGAGATTCAAATAAACTCCACATAAAACAGAAAAAGTCCCAAAGTTATGAAGTTATGAAGACCAAACATGTTCATGCGTTTAGTGCTCACACTTCCACAATAAGAGCCGTCAGATCGACTGCTCTGGGAGTTCACTGTTAAAATGTTGTGCAGCGAATCTGTGCGTGTCCTTCTCCTGGATCTCCTCCTCTCTCTCCCCCTGGCTCTCCTCCTCTCTCTCCCCCTGGCTCTTCTCCTCTCTCTCCCCCTGGCTCTTCTCGTCTCTCTCCCCCTGGCTCTTCTCGTCTCTCTTCTCCTGGCTCTCCTCCTCTCTCTCCCCCTGGCTCTTCTCCTCTCTCTTCTCCTCTCTCTCCCCCTGGCTCTTCTCGTCTCTCTCACCCTGGCTCTTCTCGTCTCTCTTCTCCTGGCTCTTCTCCTCTCTCTCCCCCTGGCTCGTCTCCTCTCTCTCCCCCCTGGCTCTTCTCCTCTCTCTTCTCCTCTCTCTCCCCCTGGCTCTCCTCCTCTCTCTCACCCTGGCTCTTCTTGTCTCTCTTCTCCTGGCTCTTCTCCTCTCTCTCCCCCCTGGCTCTTCTCCTCTCTCTCCCCCTGGCTCTTCTCCTCTCTCTCCCCCTGGCTCTTCTCGTCTCTCTTCTCCTGGCTCTCCTCCTCTCTCTCCCCCTGGCTCTTCTCGTCTCTCTTCTCCTGGCTCTCCTCCTCTCTCTCCCCCTGGCTCTTCTCCTCTCTCTTCTCCTGGCTCTCCTCCTCTCTCTCCCCCTAGCTCTTTCTCGTCTCTCTCCTCCTGGCTCTTCTCCCTCTCCTCCTCTCTCTCCTCCTGGCTCTTCTCCTCTCTCTTCTCCTGGCTCTTCTCCTCTCTCTTCTCCTGGTTCTTCTCCTCTCTCTCCTCCTGGCTCTCCTCCTCTCTCTCCTCCTGGCTCTTCTCCTCTCTCTCCCCCTGGCTCTTCTCCTCTCTCTCCCCCTGGCTCTTCTCCTCTCTCTTCTCCTGGCTCTTCTCCTCTCTCTCCTCCTGGCTCTTCTCCTCTCTCTCCCCCTGGCTCTCCTCCTCTCTCTCCTCCTGGCTCTCCTCCTCTCTCTCCTCCTGGCTCTTCTCCTCTCTCTCCTCCTGGCTCTCCTCCTCTCTCTCCTCCTGGCTCTTCTCCTCTCTCCTCCTGGCTCTCCTCCTCTCTCTCCTCCTGGCTCTTCTCCTCTCTCTCCTCTCTCTCCTCCTGGCTCTTCTCGTCTCTCTCCCCCTGGCTCTTCTCCTCTCTCTCCTCCTGGCTCTCCTTCTTTCTCTCCTCTCTCTCATGTGCACCATTTGTTAGTTGTTTTTTGTTTTGTATTTCTTCTTCCCCTTCCCCTTTAACATCCTGTCGTACAAATGGAGAATACAAACTCCATGTTCAAACTGCCGTGTAAAAATGTTGTACTTTTTGGTTGTCTGTGAAACTAATCTATGACACTATATTGTTTATCATTGGCTTGCAGTAAAAAATCAAACATTAAAACAAACAAAGGCATACATCACGTTGTGTGTAATGTGTCTGTAGCATATATTGGTAAGTCATATTTATTTATATAGCACCAAGGTCACACTAAGCAGTAATTCCTATTTCCTCCACACACAGTGATGACAAAAGCGAGACGCCGAACATCACTGTCCTTTCTCTCATTACATTCAGGTCTACTCTACATGTTCTTAGAGGTAGGAGAAACCAGAGGAAACCTACACAGACACTAGCAGAACATGCAAACTCCACACAGAAAGGCCCTGTCTGGAGGTGGAATCGAAACCAGGACCTTCTCACTGTGAGGCACAAGCGCTAACCACTGCACCACCATGCAGCTCAAATATATTAGTTTCAAAGTTGAAAGTTATTATGAAAACAAACTTTCTAGCAGGACAACCACAAGTCAGGTTTGAGGAGAACTTTTTAAACTTTTTCAAAGCACTAAAAGCCCAAAAGACACACAGTGGTTAGAGAATAAACTTTGTAACCATAGTAACACAGGTACCACAGCTCATCACCAGTGTTTGTGGAGATATTGATCCCAATGAAAACAAACCCTAAACACGTTAGCGCTTACATTGTGAGCTTAATGCGGAGGTTAAAAGGTGTCAATGTGGCTCCAGATCCAGCCTGCAGCTACTGGGGCAGAGGGAGGGGGGAGGAAGGGAGGAGGTGGGAGGAGGGGTGGGTACATCCTGGGTGTGCCCCCGGCTGCACCCTGCTCTTCAGGAGGCGTAGGGGAGGAGGAGGGCCCCCTGCTGCTCCTCAAGCTGGGTGACGGCCGACAGGTGGGCCGCCTCGGCTTCGGGGACGGGGTTCAACAGGTAACCCCCCCCTCCCTCCCGCTCCCTCCCCCATCAAACCACACCCCTTCCCTCTGCTCTCCCCACCCCCCCACCATCCCAGTGCAGCATCAAGACTACGGCGAATAGTCAGATTGTATTCAGCACGCTCCAATCTGGTCCTGTGCCTTCTGCGGAGTGAGGGCTGGAGGGGGGGGGGGGGGCTCTAAAGGTTCCCATCTGTTGTCCTTGACTGGGTGCCAGACGAGCGGAGCGGCTGCAGGAAGTGGTCCCATCACGGAGGCGCGGGTTACTCCACAGCAGCATCACCTATTTACTTTGGAGCCGGCAGCAGGATTGATACTCGCCATCGCTGCGTGTTTTTCCCAAAGTGAAAGAATAAAAGTGTTCTGTAGTTTTGGAAAATGAGGGCGGTTTGTCAGCGGACTTTCCCCGATCACAAATGGTCACAGGATCCAGGGCTAATGAGATGCAGGTGTTTTGATAAAGGCTTCCTGGTGGAGAGGGGTTGACTAACGGCTCTGAATGTGTTTAGCTCCTCACTTTCTCAGAGACGAAGATGCGACCGTTCATTTGTAAAGTTTAAAAAAGTCACGGCAACAAGACCCCGACCTGTCGATAGTCGATCTATCATCTATAGAAAAGCATGTCCTCCTCAGAGAGATGGACCACGGCAGTTTCCTCCTTACTCAGACCTGTATGCAGCGCTCTGAAACAGCCTCAATTCAAATGTGAATCATTATAACATGAAAACCACGCATCACAAAAGTGGATTTTGCAGTAAATGTATTTTAAACGTCAATATTTGAGGCCGTGTCAGTTTGAGTGAACCAAACAGATAAACCACACAGTTTCCAGATATTCATCCAACTCAAACTCTTGTAGCAGACAGAAGTTTAAGGCTGTAGGTTGTAGTAAATGTAAAGTTTGCATTGGAGCAAAAGTAAAACAGGTTAAAATATTTCATGATATCGCTGACGTATGCTTTTTTTCATCTTTAACACTAGAACTCACGGAGCAGTCGATTTGACGGCTTTTTGGAAGTGCAATTGTTTCTGGTCTTCATAACTTTGTGATGTTTCTATATGAAGTTAATTTCAAAGTTATTAAGTTATTATTTCGACCCTTGACTGGTTCAGAAAATAGACTAATTATTCAGAGCAGCTGTATTATTATCTCAGTTTGAAGAGAGTGCTAGTTACCATAGCAACACACACTTTAAAGTGCCTTGGGGGACCTTGGTCTGTAAAAATGCGCTATATAAAAAAAGATGACTTACAGTTTTCTTGCAGCCGTTAGCATTTAGTTTTGCTGTGTTTCATTAATATTAACTAGTTTGAGCCTGTATTAAAGATTTAAAAAACCAAATTACTTATTTTCAAGGGTAGAGAAAATCTGAGCCGTCAAAATAAGTTCTAGCCGTTTCAGAAATCTGGGAGCACCGTGTCCAAGCGTTGATAAGATTCTAATTACAAAACTGAAAACTCAATAGTGAGAAGTTGAGCCTACGGGGTCCGTGTATTTTTCTTTCAATCATTTTTTTCAAATTAAAATCGAAAATATCTAAAAGTGGCTTGAATTTTCATTTTTCATTTTGATGAGGAAAAGGAAAAACTAAATATTGAACAATGGTTTCAGGCTGATATGGTTTTGTCTTTTTGTTTTGGCGCAACCGGAAGTCTTTATTTTCGTCTCAGCAATAGTGGGAAGTTGAGCCTATAGCTATTGAATAAATTATTAAAAAACAATTATTTTATCTTAAACAATAGTGATATATAGCGACACGGCTTCAGTGCTAAATGTTCCTCTAAATGTATTGAGAAGCGCAGGAAGATAACGTGTCTGTGGATAACGATAATGTTTGTGGATTGAGAATATTAAACCTGTGTCTTGTTTGTTGTATGACGGCTGGAGTGATGTGTGTTTGTCCGACAGACTGTAGACAAACCTGCATATTGCCCTCCTCATTACCGTAATGGCTGGTGTTTATCTGGCATCCTCTCGGACACAGAAATAGCTGTCCCTCGCCCCTCCTCCTCCCCCCCTCCTCTTCCTCCTCCTCCTGCTGCAGACGTGGAGCTGTAAACACTGGCCTTTTGTCGGTGGGAATTGGCCTCAGGTGCAGTTGACCTCTGACCCCGGGGCCTGCAGGTTGAACAAAAGGCCATTAAGGAGCCGGTCCTGTCTCCAGCAGCACCGGGGACAGCGAGACAGAGATGGAGGCTCTACAAGTGTGTGCACGCGGCCCGGGACCACATGCATGCACCCACCGAGACGCCCCCGGGACACAGAACCAGGAGAGAGAACCAAGAGAGAGAACCAGGAGAGAGAACCAAGAGACAGAACCAGGAGAGAGAACCAAAAGACAGAACCAAGAGACAGAACCAGGAGGGAGAACCAGGAGAGAGACCCAAGAGACAGAACCAGGAGAGAGAACCAGGAGACAGAACCAGGAGAGAGAATCAAGAGACAGAACCAGGAGACAGAACCAGGAGAGAGAACCAAGAGAGAGAACCAGGAGAGAGAACCAGGAGAGAGAACCAAGAGACAGAACCAGGAGACAGACCCAAGAGACAGAACCAGGAGAGAGAACCAAGAAACAGAACCAAGAGACAGAACCAGGAGAGAGAACCAAGAGACAGAACCAAGAGACAAAACCAGGAGAGAGAACCAAGAGACAGAACCAGGAGACAGAACCAGGAGAGAGAACCAAGAGACAGAACCAGGAGAGAGAACCAAGAGACAGAACCAAGGGACAGCCGTATCTGTACATCATGCAATTACAGTGCCTTGCGAAAGTATGAAAGATGAAAGTTTGGAGGGACGGCCGGGTCTTGGTAGATTTGCAGTGGTCTGATACTCCTTCCATTTCAATATAATTGCTTGCACAATGCTCCTTGAGATGTTTAAAGCTTGGGAAATCTTTTTGTATCCAAATCCGGCTTTAAACTTCTCCACAACAGTATCTCGGACCTGCCTGGTGTGTTCCTTTGTCTTCATGGTTCTCTCTGCGCTTTAAACAGAACCCTGAGACTATCAAAGAGCAGGTGCATTTATACGGAGACTTGATTACACACAAGTGCATTCTATTTATCATCATCAGTCATTTAGGACAACATTGGATCATTCAAAGATCCTCACTGAACTTCTGGACTGAGTTTGCTGCACTGAAAGTAAAGGGGCCGAATAATATTGCACGCCCCACTTTTCAGTTTTTTATTTGTTAAAAAAGTTTAAATTATCCAATAAATTTCGTTCCACTTCACGATTGTGAAGTATGTTTGAAGACTGAAATGTGGCGAAATGTTGAAAGGTTCACGGGGGCCGAATACTTTCGCAAGGCACTGTACTGCAGAGACATCAATCCATCCATTTTCTTCCCCTTAATCCATTTCTGAGTCGAGGGGTGGCAGTCAGAGCTGCACCCAGTAAACAGAGCACCAGCCCCTCACTGATCCTCCTGCAGGTGGTGAGTCCACAGGAGCTGAGATCTTTAAGTGGGGGCTTCAGGCAAAGTGGGGTTAAGTATCTTGCCCAAGGACACAACGACAGCAGTCATCAGTGAAGGTCTTGTGGTGGACTCGAACCCACAACCTTCAGGCTCAAAGGCCAATGCTCTACCAACTGAGCCACTGTCACCCCTAAGAGACAGAACCGTGGAAAAGCAGCCAGACAAACTAAACAACTGCTACAAAAGTCAAGCGAAAAGCAGAGAGTAAATCTGGTCTGAAAGAAAAGCAAGTTTCTTCGTCTCAAAGTCGTGGAATAACGACTGTTCCGTTGAAGACAGAACTCTATCAGCCCGGTCCAAACACAGAGTGGGTCTGAACTGAAAATACAGACTGGACCATGTGTGTGATAATCCATAATCCACACAGGAATAGTTGTTTATTTTCCTCTGATGTCGCCACAATAATAAACAAACTCATTTATGCTACGACATATTAAGTCTTGAATTTCTGAATATTTGTAAGTGCTCAGAAAGTTCAAGGCTGCCATAGATTTTATCTGCAAAATTAAAGTCAAGCAGATTCCCACAGAGTGATTTTTGTTCAGTGACAGTAAATAAAATTCTGATTCAGACATTTAGCATTTTTCACAACACATATTTCAAATGTGTTTGGAAGCGTTTATAATGTTTTTTTCTGTTTCTATCATTTGCACCAAACCACAAAAGCACATTCCTGGCATTTCAGCTCAAAACATTTAGCGATAATTTTTGTATCGAGGGGTCGGGCTCGAGCCGTTAGAGCCGTGATTAGTCATTCACCGAGACTGCAATTAGTTAGATTATCATTTTATATTTACAAACAGCAAATTATATGATTGCGTGTTATATAAATATGGCGACCGCTGCAGAACAAGGATCACTGCAAATGTCAAAATAGGAAAATAGATTTAATTGAAGAACAAAGCAGCATTCTCTTAGTTCAACCGTTTATCTGCCAGTGGAAAAGTCCAATTTTAAGATTAAGATTAAGAGATCCTTTATTCGTCCCACAGTGGGGAATTTTCAGTGTTTCATCACAAGTTATAGAACAGTAGGAATGAGGAGCACACAGCACAAGTGAAGTGAACAATAGAATAAAAAAAAACAAAATCTCTAACTCTAGCATAAAAGTATAAAATCTCTTTCTTGAAAACAATAATAAAAGTGTAACATTTTTGTGGGAGAAATTGCTTGTCATTTATTTTCAACAGTGAAAATATAGAAATAAAACTTAAAATGTAAATTCTCCCGGTGCACTTTGACATAAACTTCAAAACATACAGTAGATATTTGTGTGCGGCCGTATAAACATAGATTGTTTATACAGCACATCCAACACAGCGAGTCTAACTTCAGACTGAGGAGTGGCTGCGACGGTTCCACATGGTGACGGTTCCACATGGTGATGGTTCCACATGGTGATGGTTCCACATGGTGACAGTCTCTCTGGTGTCACATCCATCACAGACCACGACAGGCTCCGTCCTCACCTGAGAATCCAGCCGAGCGCGATAGCATCATGTGATCAGAGGCCGAACAACGTGGCCTCTCTGTCTGTCGCCGTCCGTCGCCGCTGATGGAGCCAGAGCCACGTCCTGTCTCCTGTGAGGGGTCAGAGGAGCTGCTGACAGCCCCCTCAGGACGTCCAACACACTGGGGCCTCAGTCTGGGCCGCGGGAGAGAGAGGGCTCCTGCAACACAACATAGAACCAGATACTCTTAAATTAGTTTGTGACATGTTCTATATTTAATTATGTATGATGAGAAAGGTGTTTAAACTATTCAAGAGAGTTTCCTAAATACATGACGACATAAACAACTGCTTATTTCACTAAAACTAATAAAACATATTTTCTTATAGTTTTTTTATTGTGTCAAGTTTATATTTGGTTTCAGCAGATGTGACAATTTCACGGCTTCTGCATCCCGACTGTAAACGAGGGTCAATTAAAATACAGGGTGTGTATTTGTATTTATCTACCAAATACTTGGTCTAAAACCATTTTAAAAGTCTAAAATTTCAATTCAATGTATTTGTGTGTGGCCAAACATCACAGCAGTCGTCCCAGAGGAGTTAGCTAAGTCCAAACAGATCAGAGAATCAAACAGTCGAACAGAATGGTCCTTGAATGTTCCCAGTGCGTTTAATAACGCGTTAAATGATGAGAAATTACAGAAACAGTAAAATAGACAATACTAACTCATCTTTTGAAAGGATGTGAAAAAGTTCACAAAAGTTGCATTTAAGATCACATACTTTGATGAGAAATGGGTTTCAAATCTCAGTTGAACTTTCTCTTGTATATTTTTATCACACTCTTGAATGATGTATAAATGTGTAACACGAGAGCTTTCCCACCAAACAAAACAAATGTCCTGATTTGAAGATTTAACATAAGTTAAAAACACATGTAGATGCCAATTCTGATCTCAGCCACAATCAAACAGTAAGACAAGTCCATTTGAAAAGTTCCTCATTTCTGCTCCCACCACAGACCAACCCCCCCACATCTGAGTGCTGCTCTTACACTGGCTCAACACTGCCACCTAGTGCTGGCCGCTGCTGTAGACTGCGGGCCCAGCCAGAGCCCTGAGTGTTCAGGCATGAGTCCTGGGGCTTGTGGTTTGGGAGACAGCGTGATGACCTCATTGCTGGGGGAACACATATGACAGGACGGATGAGGGATTTTCCACAGGGTCCCGGAGGCCAGTGCCCCCAACCCTTCCAAAACCGACCCCCCCCAAAGAATACCCTCTGTAACCTCCCCTCAAAGCGGAGCAGTGCCAACACAGGCTCATGGTGATCTCACATGAACAGTCACAGTATAAACGCAGCTTTACAGAAGAAGAACAGACAGATATAGGACAGAATACATTTATAGACAGCAGATAATTGTTGCACTAGTTAAAAGTAGTTCAAGTGACAGTGACAAATTGTGATTTCTACTTGTCACGAGGAAATGTGTGTTTGACGCCTTTATAGCAGGTCATGTGAGGGGTGAACTGCCAGCTATTAGTTAGTACAAGCTTGTCTCTTTTAAAATTCTGAGTGCTTAATTTATAGTTATTAGATAAACTATACATACCGAGTCCTCAGGGGTACGGTAAACCTGTAATGGGAAAGAACGACTTTATTTAGAAATGTTATTGTTTTCCTGAAGACAGCATAATCAGGGTGAATTCCTTGCAGAGGAGGATATATATGGTAAAAACCCAAATCACAAATATTACACTGAAAACGTCATAAAAGATGTATATGCTTCCTGAAGTTGTATCAAAGAACTTTATTGAACGAGCCTTATCACACTGAGATTTGTTAATGGTTGTTTTCCTTCTTTAATCATCCTTTTTTGGCCATTAGTGGTTATTTCAAGCTTAATTATCCAGAAATTAAAAGTCATGATGACACAAGTTCATTTTTGCATCACGGTCAAAACCATTCTGATTTGGATTTCTAACTCATTTCTGTTTATTATTGAAGAAAAAATTCCCCAAATGTGGCATTTGTAATCTATAGCTGGAGCCTATTTCCTTATATGGGCATTTGTTCGGACAGTGATAGCTTCACGCCGTAACAGGGGCATACGCGTTGCTAAGATGGTTGCTAAGGCAAGCTAGAGTTTCACCTGCAAATGAAGGCGTCTGATTGGTCCATTCTTATAAGGCTCATATATGGACAATATCACAATATAAAGGACCATAGAGAGCGATTAACCACAGATGTTTAAAGTTCCTGAGAAGAGTTACTTTTACATGTGAAATCTGACTGTAGGACATAGAAGTAAAAGTACAGAAACAAACATGACTGAAGTGAAAGTAAAAAGCACTCATCTTTATTCCATGTTTTTACTGCTCAAAAAGCCAACGTCTCACATTATCAGAGAGACGTCATTTTCTTGTCTCGAGAGTCGACGCAAAAGTTGAAGGAAAGTGCACCTTAACGAGCCTTGAAGTTTACTTTGTCTTTAAAATCAAGAAAGTACTCATAAAACACAAAATAGTATATTTTTGTACTCCAAGTTGGGATTTTTTCAGTTTGAAAGGAAATAAAAGTTAAAGTAAAAACATAAATAAAGCTATTTAAGTAGATTAAGCACTTTTTGAATATGTATCATAATTATAATAACAATTATTATTATAATTGTTATAATTACAGCGAGTAAAGGAGCATTCACAGCTTCTGTATGTTTGTGTTGTGTGCTCTTACTACTGTCAGTGCTGCAACACTGAAACTGTCCTGTATGTGCGCTGCAACACTGAAATGTCCCACTCTGACACCAATAAAGCTTCTCTTATCCACTAATCCCAGAAACAAATGGAAAAATTGCAGATTTGTTGGTGTTGGTTTGTTCCACACCAGAAACTCTGCAAGCCTGAAGTTTAAAAAGCCTTGAACTTACAAGAGCCTCTGCTTTGACTCTGACAGACTTATGAGAAATGTAACCTTCTGTCATCAGTTCTTTCTGACATATTTATCCCTCACTTCACTCTCTCTGTTGTGCACTGGTCCAGGACAGACTGGTCCAGGACAGACTGGTCCAGTCCATCCTTGTCCTTCTCCTGTGCTTCCATCCCACCGGCCCCAGAGTGAGGAACAGGTGCTCACTGCGCAGGCTGACAGTGCGGACAATCACACATGCTTTCATAGCGTGACAAAGTGCTGCGCGGCTCCTTTGAAGTGCCGTGGAGCTGTGTCAGGCCTCGGATGACAGGGCCAAAGAATGCGGCCCAGTAAATCGCTGCCATTCATCGACAAAAATGCATGAGCGAAGAGTGGGCGGGCAGGTAAAGTGAGTTAGACCTGAGCCGCCGTTTAGCTGGCGCTCTTAGCCAAGCAGCGTTTTGGTGCTAATAGTGAAGGCGTGATTAGTGGTTCTTCTGGACGGAGAGGAAGAGGCTTGGGCTGGTGTAATTAGTGAAGGAGGCAACAAGAGACGCCCGGACCATCACAAGGGACATAAAGTTCAATTATTCACAGAGGAATACAGAGATGAAGTAATGAAGAAATAATTGGGTTTGAAGCCATTGGTGTTTATAAAGAGATCACTTACTGTGTTTTTCATCAAATTAGAACATTTTATGGTCCGAGAAATTGGAAGCACAAGGTTGATGTGGCGAGCACGGTCACGGTCAGAATCGCTGTGAATAATTAGGATGCGGAGATGTGAGAAGTGACAAATGCACTTGGACTGTTACAAATGTATTCTGAATCAATCAAATCTGGTTTTGCCTATTTTTAAGATGGCAAAAATATTCAAAAAGATGAAATAAAAAAAAATCTATATATTTATTTAGGCCAAACATAGGGAAGACAGAAGTTCAACTCTAGCATTAAAGCTGATGTACCTAACTTTCAATCCATCCACTGCCTTTGCTTCTATCACTTGTTGTAACATCCTGTATCTTTGGCCTTTGCCACATTTTTGGATCAGCTTTTTCAGACAGAAAATTTAAAAAAAGAACCACCCTCACTCAGCCAAAGAGGCAAATAGTGACTGACAGGGCTCTTTCTTTCAAGTATGCAACAAGAAGATTTGTGTCTTTTGCACAAATCTTGAGTGATTCTATCCATGCCAAATGTGACATGTACATTTCTTCTGTGTGAGATCAATAAAGTCTATCTTATCTTAACTTATCTTATGACCCCTGTAATAAGATGGGAAACACGTTCTGCCTTAGCCTGGCCTTATCCATCCGTAAACTCTGGTCAATTATCCTTTCCTACATGTACGTCTGGGTCTGATCCTAGTGGCTGCAGTTTCCTCGGTAGAATCCCCTTCAACCAATCAGCGAGCGGGAGAGGCGGGTGTTGTAGGTCGGTGTCGGTGACGTCAAGAGTTTGCGCCAAATTTGCTGGTTGTAGTTTGTCAAAGGCGGAAAATGCGATAGTAATCTGTTCTGGTTTGGCTCAAAATATTGAATGTTTAGCAAATGTCATTGCTGCAAATATTTTGTGGCTTCACGGGGGCGGGAGTTAGTGGCAAGGGAGATGGCTAAAGCTAGGCTAAATGCTAAAGGCCTCAATTACTCAGGCCCATCACATACGTCACTGTAAAATCGTTTCAATCAGCTCCATTTATCAAGTTTTTTTTGTATACTGTCCACTCTGTAATTAGTTTGATCATTAGTTAGCTACTGTCAGCCGATATTATAGTAGATCCATGGGGTCACAACGGGCTACGTCACTACTGTCTCTGAGAGAAATGTTAATGGGAGAATATATTATACATACATTTGTAACACACGTGCACGGAGGTTTTCAGAATGATCTGTTCAGGTTTTCATGACAAAAATACTTTTTTAATGCAACTAATGCGATCGCTTTTTTGAAGTAGGTGAACCAGCCTCACTGTTACTCGCTTGCCACGAGAAAACCTTTGAACGGTTTTCTTTGCACTCATTAAATAAACCTTTCGGCGTGATAGTTACTGAAGTTTATTTTGTGTGTTCAGTTGGTACAAAGCGTATAATGAGCGGACCCCGATACGCTTCGTCTGTACTTATTTTCCGTCACGAGTCATGAAGTTGAAAAAAATCCCTTTCATCTTTTTTCAGGTGTGAGAATTGTATACATTCTGGATTAGGACAAACAATTCTAATATGGATTGATGGGGTAAATGGTATAAAGAGAAAGTTTGTGCTAACTACATTTAGAAGCAGAAGAGCTCAGACGGACCTGATACAGCGGTCCAGGTCCAGTCCCAGCTAAACGTAGCTAGGACTGGACCTGGATGCTCCACAGTTGGTCCAGCTTCACAGACGAAGTGTTTTGAACAAATATTAGTCCTTTTTAACATCATGAGAGAAATTCTGCCGACCACAAACACCCACCTCTTGCACTTGTCCTGGTCTGGTCCTGATCTGATCTGGTCCTGATCTGATCTAGTCCTGGTCTGGTTCGATGGTGTGGTTTAACGAACGGGTTGAATGTTACTACTTTCATATAGTCCTAATCAGAGTATCTGAAATCGCTCCCACAAGCACCATAACTGCAGTGTTTTGTTGTCACCATGATTCAATGACTTAGCCCAAGTAAATACACACACGTATGTGTAGAACACAGTAGTATTTAACGGAGTCGTACAATGTTTGTCCGAAACATGCGCAGTCATCAGAACTATTTTTAGCACATTTCGGAAACCGGACAGTGCCCTATGACCTTTGTACAAATTAAGTTAGTACGATGGTATGGTATGACCAGGGTAGTACTTACCTGGTCTCTTCACAATTTACTAATAAAACTCTTTCTGTCGGAAAAACAAAAGTTAGGTTCCTACATTGTTTAATTACATAACAGCCAACAAGTTTCCAACAATCTGTCAACAATCACACACAGAGAAAAGACACAAGGCAACAACAGCAGCACTTTATTTAACTAATGATTAATTACACACACTCATAATAGTTCAGGTTACAATAATTGCCAATATATACGCATTGTGGTTGCAATAATCTTCACACATATACTTACACCTATCACTTGTTAATTACAGAGCATTGCGGTTAGATGTCTTGCCAAGGGACACAACAACAGTTGGAACCCTTTCCAGCGCCTGTGTATGCACAGCCACAGGTCTCCCATCCTTAGAGGGTCTAACAAAAAGGACAGTGGTGATGATCCAGGACAACATCTGGATCAATACCGATGTGGTCTATATTTGTGTTTGAACTGTTTGATTCTCGGATCTGTGTTGGTGATTTCAAAGGTATATAGGAGGATTTTCTACTTTTGAGTGGATCATCAAGACTATTGGTCCTCCCGGTTGTCAATCATGCTGACACGTGCTCATCAAATAAGACCAGATAAATCCTCCTATAAACCTTTAAGTGCTCTGAGATAACTACTGTTGTGGATTAGGGCAATCCATGAATACATTTAATTAATCAGGCTCAAAACCTCTACGGCCACAGCCAATCAGCACACGGCCTCCTTCTCACTACAAAACCAGTCCTTTGCCACATATCAACTTGTTTGTATGATCTATTTTCAGTGCGTATAGTTAAAAATTGATAGCGGATGTTAAAAATAGCCTGATATCTCTGGGAGGATCACGGCGTTCACGGAAACAGGCGAACACACCGTGATCCTGCTGCTTCACACCTTGTCGGGATTACAGGTGTAGTCTTTCTTTCCACTGTGTGCGAGCTCGCGTAACTCGACGCTACTCAATTATAGATGCGAGCTGTGAAACCCCTTCACCTCCGTCCATTAGTTCCTCTAAGACCTCTGGCCTAACACTACTTTGTAACTTCTTGAACATGAGTGCGCCGGCTGGCTTTCTTCAATGGGTCGTCTGAGTTGACTTGACAGTGACTAATTTCGGCATTTACCAAGCGCTTAGCCATAGTCTGCCAGGCATCTCCGAGCTCCGAGATGGTGATGGATATGAGAGAAAAGGACACGGCGGCAGAGGACTTGTGTGTGCTGCAGACTATTTATAGATCCTTGATTTATTGATTCATCTGTAGAGTTATGGAGGGTATTCTCAGAGACTGGAGAGTTTCTGTGAGTTCAGAGTAGAAGAACTTAAGAACACAGGAAAACCAGTGAAAGTGGGTTTTCAGCAGGTGTTTAAAGTAGCCATGTGTAAGAATTGCACGTCAGGTTATTAAATGGGCCTACTATGTCAAAAGGCATTAATAAATCATGGTCTCAGAAAATACTTCTTGAAATTAAAGTATAACAGTAGTTCAGTTGAGACAATTGAAGGCGGATAAGAACTTGGCAAGTATAGCAAAGATGTTTTCTTACCGGGATAAATGAAAATGGATCTTTTGTATACAAACAATATTGTCCAATACAGTCTATCTCATCTCACAGGTACGTTCATATAACAAAGGCTTGGCACACAATAATTCCTCAATCGTGTTTACACATTGTGGACTCCATATACAAAGTTATAATCTGAAACACAGGAATGAGAATTTTCCGCAGATCCGGAGAATTCCAAGTGACGGCAGATTACTTGCTTTTGCTGTACGTATTCGAACGGGATTCAGCACCCGGAGCAACTGTGCCCGCTCTGTAGCGAATGACAGCGGTTCCCACCTCCATGGATGAATTCTGGAGAAGCGAGCGCACAGCCAGAGTATGACCATGTGACCAGCACGGACAGGAGCTTTCCCTGCTTGTTTCAAGTGTGTGTCTATGTGTATGTGATATACAGTATAACCTGCTACAAGAAACAGAGCTGGGTGATGGGAGCCTCCGGAAGTGTTGTAGTCCACAGAACTTAAACAAAAACATAAACAAGAGAAACCTAAACCGAAGGACTCGTCGCTTGCCATTTGTAGTCGATCGAGCTGGATTTGGCTGCGTATCTGGCAACCTGAGTCAGGGAGAGTGGGAGAGGACTGATTGCAGTACCACTTTTGGCAAGATTTTTCTACATATGGCTGAGTTCATTGAGGACATAAAAAAGAATCCTATTTTTCCAGATACAGTCCAAGTACAGCATCACTAAACAACTAGAAAAATGAAAAAACAGTTTTGAGCAAGCAATGAATTGAAAAAAGCTATCTATTTTGCAGATGTTCTAAAGTTAAGGCACTTGAATAAGATGGCCTCCTGAAAGCCCTCTTCAGTCTGGACCTGTGGCTCATTATTGTACTTTTCCCTTCTTCACATCCCCAAAAGGACCAGGGGACATGTGGGGTCCAATAGACTGATGTTGTTCTCCTGAAAGAACTGAGAACTGTGCCATTGTGCAGCGGTACCTCACAGACGAGGCCCATGTTGCTCTCAGCACCAGAGTCCATCACGAGGGGAGGCCTCCACTGTGGCACAGGGACATCTCAGGTGGAGATCACTTTTGAAGCTTTTCAGCCTCAGACACCTCTGATGGTCGCGTCTGCACCAGAAACATTCAGAACATCATGATGCAAACAGACGATCCTTAATGTTGCACAGTTTTGTATTTTAAAGTGGAGAGGAAGAGGCTTGTGATAAAAGTGAAGTAAGGAGGTAAAATAACAGAGAGACTAATGAGACTGGAGATAAAGTATATGTCGCTGATGAGAGTGCGGTGGCCGTGCACTTTGTCTTCATTTCCTTAATGAAGTGAAGCAGTGAGTCCTGGACACATGGAGTGGAGCTGACAGCAGAGATGCTTCTACATTATGCAGCAGGAGCTTGCGGACTGTGACTAATCCACACCTTTGACATTAGATGTCAGGGCTTAGTCACCAAAGGCTTCTTGCCCCAACACTTGGTCGTGGCCTTGGACAAATCTGCTACAAGTGAATTTAAGATGATCAGGTTGAATATGTGTAAGAAGAGCAGCAGCATTCTTTACTATGTGACCAAACAAGGCTTTGATTCTAAAGCAACAACAACGACAACTGAAAAACACTCGTAGAGCGCAGACTTCTGCCAAAGGGCACTGTTCCCAACGTATGTTTCCCTTTGCCCCTCAAAAAGGCAAGGCCAGTTTATTTGTATAGCACAGATCATACAAAAGGCAACTCTAGCTCTTAACAAACCAAGATGGAAACAATCGCACAAGGCGTTAAAGTTAAAAATATCCACAGTACATTACAAACAGTAAAGTACAATTCCACATCTGTTTGCTCAGTTTTAACCTGGATTTGAACAGTTTCTGGAAGATTGTTCCAGATTTTAGTTGCATCTTTCTCTTTGGGCTGAGGCCAAATTTACAACATGAGAGCAGCTTGTTTTTTAGACTTTACTTTCACTCCTTCCATTATCTGTGGAATCTGTGTCTATATCGCAGCTGGAACTGAACCAACACTAAGGAAGACTTGTTATTGCAGACTGATAATGATAATGACAATGATGAAATAAGATTCACTGTATTTTCCATTTGCAGTAAAACCACATTGGAACAGACGATTATAGTATTATTATAGTTGATGCCTTAAAAAGCTCATTACTGCTTTGAAAAAGTTTCTACACAAAATATTTGTTTTAACTATGAATCATTCTTGCTCAATATTTATTGAATATTCATTGAACAATAATGAAGGTTAATAAAAGTGTGGATTTGGATGAATGTTAAAATGGCCGCCTGCAGGGTGAAGAGGCTCCGCCCCCGTCCTAAAGCAGACACATGGTGAGTACATGTTGCAAATCTCTCATTAACTTTTGTCTTTTTAATTTCATGTTGTGAATTAACAACTTCCCCTCCCTAAACCCAAACCTCTCCCCAGCAAAGGCGGAGGTAATAATATTAGGCCTAAGATCAATACATCTCATAAAACTAAATTCATGGTAAACCTCGAACATTTCTGAAGCTCAGGCCATTATATAATCGCATGTTGTTGAGAGCCGCACGCAGATCTCTGCAGTGAAAAACACCTCCTTAAAGGCATTTGTTCTAATTATCACTGGATTCATTCCAAACTCCAAATGTCTTGGTTACAAAACATCTGAACTTCACATCTCATTTATTTTATTGACCTTTATTTAGTAAAACTTTGATGAATGCAAAATGATTTCTCAGTGTCCAACATGAGCAGCGTTCATTCCCATTTTCTCGAGTGCATGAATCAGATCAGTGAGTGGATGCAAAATAACTCTCTTCAGCTTAACACAGACAAAACTGAAATAATAGTTTTTGACCCCAGTCTCTCTCCCTAAAACCTTAAATCAGGTCCGAAATGTAGGTGTAACACTGGACTCAGCCACATCAAACCAGTACCAGCAGCATCAGCACCTACCATCTGAAAAACAATGCCAATATCAAAAACATAGTGTGACCTGGTGATTGTTATCCTGCTTTTGTCTCCAGGAGGTTAGACGACTGTAACAGCTGCTCACGGCTGCAGCGTGTTTAAAACGCCTCAAAGTACATCTGTGACGTGTTCATGTGCTCTCATGAACCAACTCTGAGGAGCACAGGGACTGGCCTCCTGCTGGGACTCTGAGGAGCACAGGGACTGGCCTCCTGCTGGGACTGTGAGAAGCACATAGGGACTGGCCTCCTGCTGGGACTCTGAGGAGCACAGGGACTGGCCTCCTGCTGGGACTCTGAGGAGCACAGGGACTGGCCTCCTGCTGGGACTCTGAGGAGCACAGGGACTGGACTCCTGCTGGGACTCTGAGGAGCACAGGGACTGGCCTCCTGCTGGGACTCTGAGGAGCACAGGGACTGGCCTCCTGCTGGGACTCTGAGGAGCACAGGGACTGGCCTCCTGCTGGGACTCTGAGGAGCACAGGGACTGGACTCCTGCTGGTCTCAAGAATCAGGACTAAACATGGGGAGACAGCGTTTCAGATTAATGCAGCTAAAAAACAGTCTTCCTGAAAATGTGAGACAGACTTCTTCTCTGGCCGTGTTTGAAGAGGGTTGTCTGCTTGTGCAACTGAATGATTTTATCTTTTCAATTATTTTAATCCCTTGTGTAATTTTGATGTTTTAAATAACCTGTGATTTTAGTTTGAGTGCTTTAATGTTCCTGTGATATAATCATTGTAATAATCATTTAATGCTCTGTGTGATTTTAATGTTTCCGTTGTGTGTGATGTTTCCTTGTGGAAAAGTGATCTACAAATAAAAGTTTATTGAAGTCAAACTCCTGAGTTTCTGAGATCGCAGAAGAACTCTCTGTAGCTCCTTCTTTTGCATTCGGTCAAAGACATCGAGAAAATGATAATGTAGGCTTTAAAAACAAACAAAAACACAAAATAGTCAGCAGAAAAAAATATCAGAGAAAAAAAGACACTTAAAAAAAAATACATAAAAGACAGAAAATAATAATGAATATACCTTTTAATAAAAAAAAATCAAAGTTTTATGTTTTTATATTTCAGAATTTGTAGTGATATCTTACAATAAATACAGTATTTTTTTGTGTTGTTTACACTTTCTTTCTCTGCACATTTTCTTCAAAGTGATAATAATTGTAGGTGTTATTATACAATAATACAACCGTTACAAGTTTGTGACTATTGTCTAAAAACCTATTGTAGATAATAGTGTTCCTTCTCTTCGATCGGCACTGGTCTACAGCCAAGTGCCATAAAGATGTTTATTGAACGTCAAAATCATTCTAAAACACATCCAGTGACATCACAGAGCATTAGCTGTGGTTCAGAGCAGTCCATGCATCTACCACCTGCTGGAATGTAGTTTCCCTTGATAATTGGGGCAATTAGAGATTCCCCGCTCCACTATCCCTGCTGCGGCGGCGGAGGAAAACCTGCTATTACGATTACACAACCAGGAGCAGAACTCTTACCTCGGGGACAGCGCGGCTTCTTAATTATTATATCAGCTTTCCTAATTAGAGTTTGGCCGAGCCTGGTTTGTAATGGCTGCTAATGTAAATTATTGACATAATTCCAGCAACTAATTTCAGATAACTACTCAGCAAACACACACCTTTAGATACTCGCAGTTCAGGACACACAATTATGCACTCATCCCTGACAGGCACACAATAGTCGGTACGACAAAAGCGCTGCGACGCGGCACAAAAAGAGCAGTTTTGAAGCGTCTTAGGTGTGGCCACAGAGAAATGCAGCAGCCGCTCTTCCTGTGTTTGGAGTGTTTCATGTTGCGCCTCTTGACAGCTGATGGCGTTTGTCAGTGCCAGGCGTCACTTAGACCACCGCTGTTCACACGCGAGCCTCGTCTTTTATCAAAGAGTCTCCACCTGACACAGATGAATGCACCACATACACCTCCACACAAGCCCACCTTTGGGAACGGCTTCAGACACACAAATAATACAAGAGAAATAGTGTTAGATGTGCAGCGCTGTTCCAACAGGAGTGCAATGGGGAAAACAAACAGCAGTAAGAGAGAGGAGGCCACAGGTACACAGTCTCCAGTGTCTGCACCAAAGCTCTTGTTATTCAGTACACAGAGCAGGAGACAGACACAGACACAGCTAAGTGTTTGTGACGGCCCAGGCCTAAGCCTCTGAGACGGCCTCATCCCTCACGTCTCCTCAGGTTCCTTCAGGATGGACCTGCTCCTCTACCTGCTCCATCACAGCGACTCACCGCCACAAACACAAACAGTCATTCAGCGCTCACATAAACATCTCAGCACATACAGTGGAACAGCGAACACTCCTCCCTCTGCAGAGCGCATCCCAGAGGAATGCAGTGGTGTGCGTGTCTGACGCCACGCTAAGCCACCTCAGTCCTGCTGAGGAGTCGACTTTTGCAAGCGCTGTCGTCTGTGTCTGGCCATGACAATCATGAGAAAATCACTAGGTGCCTGTGGGGCACATCTCCTGGTTACAGGTATGCCTGTTGACACATGCCAAATCCCACTCTTTCTCTGGGCTGCTGGAGCGCACTGGAACGCCCTGTCTAAGCCGCAGACAGCACATCGGCCTGAGCAGGGCCTGACATGTTGGTCATGTGACCTGAGAGCGCCTCGTAAACAGACAACTGCACACCTGTATATACATATACAGATACACTACATATACACCATAGTGTATATGTACATTTACACTACACTACTACAGTGTGAGCTTTAAGGTAAACTCAGAGTGAGCAGAGCCTGGTGTGTGTCAGGTGCTGATGATGAAGAGGACTGAGCTGAAGAGACCACTCACCTCCTCATGTCTCCTGATAGAACTTGTAATCATGCATTTTACCAATATCGATGTTGGTTCTCACACTGATAATGTGAGTGCTCATGAATAGACAGTACTGTACGCTGTGAGTTGTGCAGGATATTCAAAGCCAAAATTGTCTAGAAATATTTTACAACCATTTAGAAAACGTCATGAAAGCAATAATGCACCAAGTTCAAAACAGCACTTTTAGTATCCCTCTACTGTTACCTGCTGGGCCAAGCTGACATTAAAAGAACTGACACCGATCCAACAGTCATATTTCTTTAAAACTTGTGAGCCAAGCGTGTGGGTAAAGTTACAGCCTGCTCATATTACACTCGCTCATTCAGTGCTCTCTGACAATTCATTGTACCTGTGATGCCACAAATATCTCCTTAAGACCAGTGATGTTTAATGAGCAGAGCGCGGCAAGCGTCACAATACTGCCTAATACAGCAGACCGCAAGTGCAAACAGCACCATAAGACACACTGTACACCTTAAGCTCCATTGTCTCCAGTCGGAGTCTGCAGGGCTTTGATGTGGCGGAGGTGAGGCCACTTTTCAGGGCAGAACTCTACTTTTCACTCAAGTATTTGTTTGGCCGTCATAGAGACTAAATACATGAGTCTCAAGGGATAAGCAGTCTTAGAAGAACAGAACAAAGTTGCATTTCAAACATACAGAGTCTTTTGGAAATGTGGTCAAATGTACATTCTTAAAAGTTACATTTTTATGTGTAGCATCAAAAAGTGGAATGAGCGGTGGAGAAATGAAACATTTGGAAAATCTGGCACGCTTTCTGTGGCAATTTCACCTTTGACATGTGCCCAAACCACAGAGCGCTGTGAGGTGGTTTTCTTCAACCCACACCCAGATGCAAGATGCAGTAGGCTGCTGAAGATACAGCTAATATATTAAAGCTGGGGTCCCTAACTTTTTGATTCGTAGATAATTAATGTTGTTTTTCCAACAGAAAGAGAAGTGTAAAAGTTAGACTACAACAAACTGTCTATATCTTATTAGAACAAATTTTAGTTTCATTTCAACCAAAGTCTCACTGCTCTCACAAAACGCCCGACTTCCTAAAAGCACATGCAGAGGTAGCCTGTTCTTACCATACCAATGAACTCATTTCATTTCGTACTAAGGTCTGGATTTGCTAAACGCTGCTAAACTACAACCAGAAAATTAGCCGCAAACTCTTGACGTCACAGACACCGACCCGCCTCCCCCGCTCGCTGATTGGTGGCGATACAACCCAGGAAACTGGAGCCACTAGGATCGGACCCAGATGTACACGTAGGAAATGATAATGGTTAATGATGTTGATAAACTACTGTAGCCACAGCCGCCCCGGGGCACACTGACAGAAGCGAGGGAACCAGTATGTGCCCCTCCGACCACCACCAACCATTCACACACACACCAGACTCACTCTAGGCAATTTGGGTGAAGTGTCTTGCCTGTCGAACCCACGACCTTCAGTCTCAAAGGCCAATGCTCTTCCAACTGAGCCACTGTCGCCCCAACTCTGATGTTTACGGATGGCTAAAGCAGAGGCAAAGTGTTCCTCTCTTTTTCACTTTTCTGTTTGAAAAAAACAGAAACTGTTCTGAAGATCTAGAGAATGACACTAGAGACATGTTTTTAGTCTGTAGTATGAACACGAGGACCACCCGCTGCAGGTCGCTCTCTTCTGCTCCTTCTGTTCCAATAACAAAATGTGTGTGAATTATTTAGGATGAAGTATTAAAAATCAAGTTCATCTGACAAATCATGTGACCGAGGACAGATCGTTTAAATGATACAGGAAGATGAACTTCCAGTTCCAATACGTGGATCAGTGCGTGAGGATAAAAGTGTTTGTCTGCACGAAGGAAGCATGAGCCAAAGAGATTTATTCATCACCAAAACAAATGGTGTTGAAGTAAGTAATCTTTATTTATGTAGCGCCTTTCACAGACTAGACTGTCAGAGACCAAAGTGCTTTACAATTGTTGTGGAAGTTCCCTCCACACAGAGATGGGAGCGAGGCCGCCTACAGGAGGTAGAAACCGGAGCACCCGGAGGAAATCTATGCAGACACGGGGAGAACATACATATATGCTGCTCACCACTGCACCACTGTGCTGCCCATAGAGATAATTCAAAGATATAATTACAGCCAAAGACTCCATTGTCTCCTTCTGTTCCAACAGTAACATCCTAATGATGAAACAGTTTGTGTCTAAAAGTGGCTGCTGTGTTCACACTGAACATGGCTCGGGAGAAGACTGTTCAAAGCAGAGTCAAAATGGAGTTGTGAAAACTCCTTTGAAAGTTAGGTAACCCAGCTTTAATCAAGCTTTTCACACTGGTATTATGCAGATTCAAAGTTTGAAGTTACAATAAAAAGGTCCACACCTACCAGTGCTTTTATCACAGATAGTGGGACGAGTAACAAGCAGCCTGTTGGTTTGTGTGAACACATTACATGTATATGACACACAGTGAAAAGAGCAGGTATAAAGATCCACTGATCGCTGGTTACACCTCTGAACTGACACTGTGTGATCAACAGCGACTTGAGCTGATTGTTTTCACTTGTCAAACTTCTGACATTTCTGCACAGATTTGTGTTGAGTCACTTACACCTCCAGATCTGGATTAAGTTTCAAAGCAGGCACCAAACAGGCAAGCAGCAGCAAGTCTGGCTGAGGGCTAAAAAATAACTGAGAAAATGCTCCTGTTTCTACCTAGTCAGACATAACTCATAAAATCAAACTTGAATCTATTTTGTGCCAAAGAAAAGGCAGCGTCGATTGTACGAGCTCCATCTGGTGAGGAGTGGGGTGGATGTTCCAGAGGTTTGCAGCCTCGCCTTGGATCACTGACTTCCTCAGCTCCATCCACACGACCACAGAACCCACCCCCCACCTCTTCCCCCCTGCTCCCCGCCCAGTCCTCTCGACACACTGGCCTACCAAACAAACACTCCCCCCCTCTTCGGACGTGGCTCGCAGGGCTTGGGCAAGACGTTGCTGCTTGAAAAATCCTTGTTTATATCGCAACCAAAATACAGAGGGTCTACAAAGAGTGGCCTCCTGCCCACGCCAGCACCACTCAAAACATTACTGACCACTGTTTAAACACTGGGAATGACACTTTGACATCTACGGTAATCTCGGGCCAACGACGGATGCGCAATTTTCAGCGTAATTCTGTTAAGTCCATATATATTTTGGAGTTTAGAACATCTGAAGCGTTGGTACGGTGTGTCAGGTTGAGGCGGGCTGGTCCCCTAAGTTGTCCCCCTCCATAAACCTCTGCACGCCTCCCAGTCTAAGCTCTGCCACTCTGTAATTTTGGGGAAGCCGCAGCACACAGCCCCATATATAAATACTCCATTCTCCCAGCCTTGTCAAAATAAAGGTTGTGTGGGGAGAAAGAAATAGGCCCTTTTCTGGTGGCCCTCTCCCCAACTTTTGGAAAGCTATTTTGGAGTATGTTACCTTTGGGTGAAGCTGCACAGTTACAAGAAGAGAAACCCAGAAATATCGCTGGAAATCCTCCACAGAGCTCATTGATGTGACTTTCCAGGTTACTTCAAAGGGAATGAGACGTTATGGAGAAAGCAGAAGCTGTTGAAGTTGTAGTAATAGCAGTTGAAGAGTGTGATTACATAAGAGGTGGTAGTTACAATACAGCTATTGTGATAGTAGTGTTCTCTGAGGGTAGTAATAGTAGTAGCTGTATTTTTAAATGTTTTTTAAATTCACAGTCATAAAGTAGTGTAGTGGAAAGGCAAGGCAAGGCAAGGCAAGTTTATTTGTATAGCACAATTCATACACAAGGCAACTCAAAGTGCTGAACAAGATAGCATTAAAATCATAAATAATTACAGAACATTAAAACGAAAGATAAAAATATAAAATCCCTCAGTTGTATGCACAGCTACACAGCACCGTTTTTAACCTGGTTTTAAACATTGTCAGAGAGGAGGCCTGTCTCACATCTTCAGGAAGATTGTTCCAGATTTTAGCAGCATGAATCTGAAAAGCAGCCTCCCCATGTTTAGTTCTGACTCTGGGCACTAACAGGAGTCCAGTCCCTGTGCTCCTCAGAGTCCGGGCTGGTTCATATGGGACTAACATGTCACTAATATATTTTGGTGCGAGGCCATGGAGAGATTTGTACACAAGCAGAGCTGTTTTAAAGTCTATTCTCTGAGCCACAGGAAGCCAGTGCAGAGACCTGAGGACCGGACTAATATGGTCGTACTTCCTGGTTCTAGTCAGGACTCGAGCTGCTGCATTTTGGATGTACTGCAGCTGTTTTACAGCCTGTTTGGACAGACCTGTGAGCAGGCCATTGCAGTAGTCTAACCTACTGGAGACAAATGCATGGATAAGAATCTCCAAGTCTGCTTTAGACACTATGTTTTTGATCCTGGCAATGTTTTTTAGATGGTAAAAAGCTGCTGATGTTACTGATTTGATGTGGCTATTAAAATTTAAGTCTGAGTCCAGTATTACCCCTAGATTTCTGACCTTGTTTGAAGGTTTTAGGGAG